CCGTGTGTCCCTGTGATGGAGTGGAGACATGTCCAGGGTGTACCCCGAACCTCACACAGTGATGGCTGGATATGGAGACCAGTGACCCCCGCAACCCAAAAAGGAAGAAGTGGCTAAAGATAATGGATGGATGGAATTAACCCAATTCAAGATGGCTGCCACAGTGACTTTCATTTAAGACAAAATGGCTACAACTCGGTCAGTTTTATTGACAGGCCTGTCACGATGATAAATTTTGCTGGGCGATTAATTGTCTCAGAAATTATTGCGATAAACGATTATATTGTTCGAAATTTAACAATTGTCAAATTTTAGAAGAAACGGTTTGTTTGGAGTGCAGTACATCTTTTGACCACCTGATGGCAGTACAAGACTGTTTGAACCAAGATGGATAGATGAGCGGCGTGTCTCTAAGAAAAATGGGACCGAGGGCCCTTGACGCGACATGGGCTGACATGGTGACATGGCGGACGCTCTGTGTGGTTTGAGCTCTTCAGCATAGCATTTTTCACACAAAGCTTTTAATAAAAAAAAAATCAGTAAAGTTCAGGTTTTGTTTTTTTTTTTGCAGAGAAAAACAACTTTTTACACGAAGGCACGGGTTTCCTGTGAATTTTGGAGCTTTGACAAGACGGAGGTTTATTCCCCGAGGTCGGCCTGTTAGCTTAGCTCGTAGCTTAGCTTCTCAGCTTAGCTGCTTTTAGCGATCCGAAAACGTAATTTGGACGATTAAAACGGATTTTAAAGAGAAAAGAGAAAGGGAGGAGCCAGTGAAGAGCACCGGAGTTGAACCTTTTGTCATCCAGTGTCTTCAGTAGAGAGAGAGACACGAAGAAACGATAAAGCCGATAAATGAGGTCGATAATTTCCATTTATCATGATATTAATTGATTTATTGTGTATCGTGACAGGCCTATTTATTGATACTGACCTAATTGAGTGAAAGTTGACACCGATCGCGATATTCTGATCAAACTAAAGCCTAGTTTAGACTCCACGAGAAGTGCCCAAGTCATGACTCGCTGACATGGCTACGTAACGAAAACTGGGCATTTTTTCTTTAAGATATTCTTTCCAGAATGTTTCAGCCAATCTATTGGTTATCGGCATTCGCCTTCCCCTTCCCATATCGTATCGGTTATAGCCAAACTATCAGAATCAGGTGGACTCTAGTTATAGATGGATGTACACTTTATTAGGGATGCACGATATTGGATTATTGTCCGATATGCACATATGTTTAAACTTATTTGGCCAGTAACCGATACCAATACCGATATTTTTCCCCCTAGACCTATTTACAGAGACTACATAACTTTCTCTGACGTAGAATTTAAATACAACATTTCCTACATGGTCTTTGTCAATTTGGTCAGCTACCAAATGCAGATGCCAAAAAGCGGGCTGGAAATGATGCAACACTATATAAATATATAATATATATATTTAAAAAACAGCGCCTTTTAAATCGGTGAGTTATTTTAATGGAATGTCCGATATTTAACTTTATCGCCAATATCGGCCAATACCGATTCCATGACGATAATATCGTGCACCACTATATTTTATTGTGCCCGAGGAGAAATTTGTCTTGGACGTGGTCTTATATTTATATTTATGCTTTCATGTGTACAGGAGATCACAATCATCTGTTTGATCAAATCAAAGTAAAGTCGACTTCAAATGAACGTTTGCAGCATGCCGGCATAAAGAGTCCATCTGAAATAATCTACGTAAACTAGGCATTATGGAAAAAGATGTCTGAGGTACTTACCTAAGATGCTGGGGTCAGAGTGCAGCATCATGGGCTGTTTCTTCTTCATCTTCCCCCCCTGGTTGTCATAGAGACCAGCTTTGCCCATGTGGTTGGCCTGAAACATGGACTGCAGAGAGCTCGGATTCATACCTCGCATCGAGTCCTGACAAACCAAACGGACATTTCATCTTTATACCCCGTCTGCATTAGTAATAAATGAAGAGTTTGAATCAGGATTTACCTGCAGAGGGAAGTTCATGTTCAACCCACCCACCTCCTTTGACAACTGGGGAAAAAATATATAAAACAATGATTTTTAACTAAACAACGTTTAATATTAATTAATTTTAAGCAGCTGGAATGACAGCAGGTGAGTTTCAGGCCTACCTGCTGCTGCTGCCTCTGTTGGTTGGCTTTCTGTTTGGCACGTCGCTCAAGAAACTGTTTGGCGAACTCTTTGGCTTCCACAGTGTCCCCAAGGTAGGACCGGATGAAATCCAGCACTGCATAGGGAGACTCCACCTCCTTCAGGTAAGCCACGATCGTGGCAACTTCACAAAGACACGATGTTAGCACAGTTAGCAAAGGCCGAACAGGATTTTGTGACGGTGCATTTATTTTTAGATCGCTGCAATCAGTTAGCACCAAATAAAAACAGTTATATTAGTTATAAAAATCTCAGATGATTGGGATAGGATTCAGTGCAGCCATACTTAAATTATACTTGGCAGACTTTGTATTTTATTTTACACCAAGGATATAATTTAGCAGTTTCTGATTCTAACACGCTTACTGTGATTTCCAAATTGAGCGCGCCTGAATATAAGCCACGCCCACACACACAAAAAAGGTACATATATAGGTTGCAATTGTCTATAAGCCGCAGGTGCCCTCCATGTGACTGACAGTCAACCACAGCAGACTGCTACAAAACGTACAGTAATTTATTTTTACGTGAACAATGCTGGTAGCATGAATGTAAAAAAAAAAAAAGTGTTTCCCTTAGCCCCGCCCTGTCAACAGAATCGAGCGCCCCACAACTGCCAGCACTGACGTAGCATTAAGCTAGCGGCGAGTAACACGGGCGTGCTAGCTAAAAGTAATTTTCCCTCACGCTGAACATTTGTCGGTAGAAACAGGCAGCTCATACATGTCTCCGTCTTTCCTCCTCCCTGGGGTCACAACGGGGAGGTGGGAACGGAAAAGGGTGGGGGGCAAAGTGCTCCCCCTCCCCAGTAGACCAATGAAATTAAGTTTCATTGATCTACTGTGACCTGTTCGGTAATTTCATTGGCCAGATTATTATTTTTTTAAAACCTTTATTTATACAGGTAGTCTCAATGTGTCACAAGGACCCACCCCCACAAGACAGACGTGTGTTGGGCAGCTATCTGAGCACCCGGGTACGTCAGGTCAAATGTTTTGGCAGTATGATGTAAAAAAAAAAAAAACATTAAATAGCTGCAACACTGTATAAACAGGCTTTAAAGTGTGTGAAAAAAGTAGCGTCTTATAGTCCAGAAATTACGGTATTCCCAATGAGTAGAAGCTGCACATCAACAAAACATTGTTCCACATGTGCAGCAGAGAGAGGCTCCATGATTTATGTCAACGCGATGCGCTGAGTTTATACAACTCTTTAGTGGGGGTTGAATCAGCTGCTCAGGGGGCCACAGTTACTGAAAACCAAGGTGTCGGGTTTCGAACATCCAGCAGTTACTCTCATTACGAAAGTTTGTTTTACGATTTAAAATGTGGTTTAATTGATAAATGAACTCAATGGTGAGCCGAACTGCGCACACACCCGTGGGCCTGATTTGGCCCCCGGGCCGCCAGTTGGACAGCTCTGGACCTACCATCCAGAGAGGAGGAGTTGTTGGCAGAGGTGTTGAGGGCGTGCAGCATCTGTTCACACCAGGTGGTGAAGCCGTCCTGAGGCTTCATGCCCTGCAGCATCTTCAGCAGCTTGTCCTCTTCCTCGGTCCTCTTACGACGCATCATGTACTGCTCACTGTAAAATATATAAATGATAAATTACTGAAGCGCAGCATCTAGCATTAGGAAGAGATTATTTAAGATTTTTAGTTTTATAGATCAATCCTGGTTCTGCTTGCCTGAGGGAGGGGCTGCTGCGGCTGTTCTTCAAGCCCATGTTGTTGTTGCTGCTCCCTCGAAGGCCGGCCTGGGTCTTCACGGCCTCGTCCCACATCCCCATGCTGCCGGAGGAGCCGCCGCTTCCGCCCTTACCCTCCAAACCAGCACCCCACATGCCGACGCTCTCCGACCACTGCCCGCCCATGGAGGAGCTCCCCATGGACATGCCAGAGTGCTGAAGGTGGAGAAAGAGAACGGGATGAGCGCGTTCCGTTCGTCACTTCCTGCAACGTGCGATCAGCCGAGGAACTCACCCTCTGCTGCTGAGCTCTCTGCAGCTCCAGCAGAGTCAGAGACTTCCCTGCTTTTGGTAGCCCCGAGGATGAAGCGCTGCTCCAACTGGAGCCGCTCGCCCCCGGTCCCTGCTGCTGGGGGGCCTGCTGCAGCAGCTTCATGACCAGTTCCTGCTGACGACACTGCAGGCGGGACAAACGGGACGCAGCGTTACTCCGGCTCATTTTAACAGGACGACTAAACGAGATTACTAAACTGGACTGATTCGATTTTCTGTAAAAATACACAACTGCTAAAACAGCTCAAACTACAGCAAAAAGCTAAAATTCACAAAACAGTAGCTAAAGAAACAAAGTGGCGATTCCAAATCTAAAAAGCTAAAATTAGCAACACTATAGCCAAAAGCTAAAATTACATAGACTTTAACTAAGAGTCAAAATTATCAATACTACAGCTAAAACCTAAAAATGAACAAAACAGTATAGAAAAGCTAAAATTTACAAAACAATAGCTAAAAAAGCTCAAATAGCAAGACTAAAGAAACGAGCTAAAATTCATAAAACAGTAGCTAAAATCTGAAAATAGCCATTCCAAACCTTAAAGCTAAAATTAGCAAAACCATAGCCAAAACTTAATGTATTAACAAATTTGGCTAAGAGTCAAAATTAGCAATAATACAGCTAAAACCTAAAAATGAGCGAAACCGTATCTAGAAGCTAAAATTTAAAAACAGTATCTAAAACAGTTTAAATAAAGACTAAAGAAAAAAAGCTAAAATTCAGACAACAGTAGCTAACAGCTGAAAATAGCTGGTCCAAATCTTAAAGCTAAAATTAGCAAAACTACAGCCAAAAGCTAAAACTATGAAGACATTAAGAGTCAAAATAAGCAATACTACAGCTAAAATCTAAAAATGAGCAAAACAGTAGCTAAAAGCTGAAAATAGCCATTCAAAATCTTAAAGCTAAAATTAGCAAAACTATAGCCAAAAGCTAAAACTATGAAGACATTAAAGAGTTAAAATTAGCAAGACTACAGCTAAAACCTACAAATGAGTGAAACAGTATCTAGAAGCTAAATGCTTCTTTGGTCGTTTGGGATCAAACGAAAAGCCCGAGTTTCTTCACCCATCTCACCTGCTTGCGTCTGAACATCTCCTCCTCCTCCCTCCTTTTCTGCTCCTCCTGCTGCTGCCTCCTCTTCTCCTCCCTTCTCTTACGCTCCTCCTCCTCCCGCTTCGCCCTGAGTTCAGCGTCACGCCTCTCTTGGATTTGCTGGGAGCGCGACGTCAAACGAATGAACTCAGCTTAGCACAGCGTTTATTTGTTTTAAATCCATTCTGAACTGAATTAAAAATGTTTCCACAACTGAAACGAATAAAAATAACCAGCTGAGACTCAAGCGAACTGACCTTCTGAAGCAGTTCAAGAGCTGGACCCTGAGTAGAAGGATTCATTGTTAAGTCCCAAAGACTGGCTTCACCGCCTGAATGGAAACAGAAGGTTTATGCTGTTGGGGGTTTTAATGAGACATTTTGTGAATGGATAAAAAAAAAAAAAGGTTTAAACTGTACCTGACGACTGTGAAGCTGAGGTATGCATGTCCCACATGGACCCTGTATCTGGCACTGACATCGACCTGTTCATCGAAGGCATTATACCCTGCTCACTGCACCTACAGAGGTAGCCACACACCGTCAAAAGATCCCAAGATAATACGTTAAACTCTCCGGGTTCACCCGTTTCTGTACCTGTTAATGAGCTGGAGTAGCTGCTGCTGCTGCTGCTGCTGCTGTTGGAGCTGCTGATAAAGGGCTGCGGCCGCCAGCTCCTGCTGCTGCTTCTTCAGACGCTCCTGGTCCAGGTTTCCCTTAAAAAAAATTAAATAAAGGTGAGAAATCAGCCAGGACAAAACATTTTACATCAAAAAACTCCACATGTAAAACAACCCTGTTAGCAATAGCCTTGCTTGAAGCGTTCATTAATCTGTATAAATAAAGGTTGATTGATAATCTAGTGGTTCCCAACACTGGTCCTTGAGGAACACCATCCCGCATGTTTTAGTCATTCCTCTGCTCCAACACTCCTGATTCAGTGATTTAATTACTTTGTCATGTTCTGCAGAAGCCTGTTAATCACTCATTAATTAAAATCAGGAGTGTCGGAGCAGAGAAACAACTAAAAGATGTAGGATGGTGTTCCTCAAGGACCAGAGTTAGGAACCCCTCAATTAATAATTATTTGTAATGACAAATGCGTATCAAAAACAAGACTGACATAAATGTACATTTTCCTTAAGAAATATACATTTTGAATGCAAAAAAAGAAGGAAATACATCTTATTTTTATCAAGTGACTTTAAATCCATTATCACAGCCCATCTAATATCCCTCCCTCTGATCTCCATCCTCCCCACCACATCCTTTAGATCGGCTGAGGTCTGACTCACAGTCCCGGCGGGCCCCCGGTTGGGCTGCGGGCGCTGCGTTGGTGGGAGCTGTCTCACCAGCAGGGGCGGAGGGGAGGGCCCCGGGGCGAAGGGCACGCGGCCCCACATCTTGATGACGTCCCCCAGGGGCTGAAAGCCCTCGTCGCAGCCCCGCTTCACCAGCAGGGTCATGGTGAAGTAGCCGGCCTGGAACCACTCGCACATCTCCACCGTGGTGAACGGGCCTGACGACGGAGTGAACACAGACAAGACGCTGACTTTCTTTACCTCAGATGCAGGACAACTGAACTCAGCCATGTGTTTCGGTGTAAGGTGTTTGTGTGCCAAAGGGTACCCTGGATCTCGCCCTGCGGGTCCTTGTAGAACCACTTCATGGCAGCCTCGTGAGTTAAAGGCAGAGCAGCAGCTGTATTCCTGCTCTCCTGCTGCTGCAGAGCCTGGGTGAAACACTCCTCCTCCAAAGAGGTGTCCTGCAGTGACGCCACCATCTTCTCTGCCTCCTACATAAAAACACAAACATTCTTTGTCGTCGTCTGTTCCCCAAACCCAAAGTTCCACTTCAAGATGCACAACATTCAGTGCAGTTCTGCTAGAGTTCAACAAAGATCAAAGTTTTAATAATCGTAAGTTTCTTTCGGCGGCTTTCTTCTTCAGGCGTTGCCACAATGAGCAAACTCCCATGAAAGACTTGGAAAATGTTTTAAACCGGGCATCCCTTCTTAGCGCAACCTGGACTCGAACCTGCAACCTTAGGACTAGAAGACCACAGCACTGACCACCATAGCTAGGCCTGTCACGATAACAAAATTTGCTGGGCGATTGTCTCAGAAATTATCGTGATAAATGATAATGTTTGAAATTTGACAATAATTTATTAGAAATTGTTGTCAAATTTAAGAAGAAATGTTGGTTAATTTGTTTTGCATGTAGTACCTTTTTTATACCACCGGGTGGCAGTATAAGACTGAATTGAAGGATGGATAGTGAGGGAGTGAGCAGCGTGTCTAAGAAAAATGGGAGGGAGGCCCCTTGACGTGACATGGGCTGTCTCTCCTTTTTTTCGATTCTCAAAATGGCGGACGCTCGGTGGTTTGAGCTCTTCAGCGTAACATTTTTCACTCAAAGAAAGGGAGTGGTCAGTGAAGAGCACCGGAGTTGAGCCTTTTGTCATCCAGTGTCTTCAGACAGAGACACGAAGAAACGATAAAGCCGATAAATGAACATGAGGTCGATAATTTTCATTTATCGATTAATTTATTTATCGTTTATCACAGCAGGCCTAACCGTAGCCCCACAAAGGTTTTAATACTGAAATCAAAATATACTGAAGTGGTTTGCGGCTGCCATCTTGCTAAGTGCTAGTCCTATCATTGTCGAAACATTGCATTATTAACGGCTTGTGCATGCTGTGCACGTTTGTCATCGGTTCAAAAACACAAATAGCATCCTGGTGCATGCTCAATAATCCCCCAGGGATCTATTAACTCTATTACCATAGCCCATCTAATATTCACATATAACTAGCCTTATTTACGTAAATAAACATTTATCTTACATTTTGTGAAAACAGAAGACTAGACTCTGCTGTAATGAGCAAAGCTTAGTGAAGTGTTAGCAACAGCAAAATGTCCTGCAGTGGGACTCAGTGGTGTTTAAATTACTGAAGCAAAAAAAAAATCTAAATATTCTGCTTTTATTAGTAAAACGGGGGAAACAAAGTAAACAGAAGAGTCTAACTAAACAAAAGTCTGATCTGCAATAAATTGTGTAATTTTACATCTTTGAAATTAATATTTTTGTGAAAATGCCACAATTTTGCAGGAAAATAGTTTTAACTTCCATAAATGTATGAACCGTTTGCATAATTTTGAAAAATCTACAAAATACAGCTGCTGTTCCAACCTGCTGTAGGTGCTTCATGCCTTCATCGTCCTCGGTGTCTCCTCCTGAAGGAGGGAGGAGAGGAGCAGCAGAGGAAGAGGGTGGGGGAGGTAGGCTGGAGGAGGAGACGACGGCAGCGCTGGGGGTGGGGGGGCTCAACTGGGCCTTGGAGATCCCGATGGGAGCCAAGTCTGACACAGAAACAACAAGAACGATGATTTAAACAATGGGTCCTATTTTTAGAACTGCTGTTCGTGGAGCGGTGCCGCCGGCTGGTTCTGGACCGGATCCAGCTTCAGTCAACAAGATGTTACATGACTGCAGGTAAACATATTCTGTGTCAAACAAAAACATAATCTGTGACAAAACCGCTCACATACAAACTGCCCTGCAGCTAAAAAGGCCCGACACCTGCAAGAAGTCTAAAGGCTTCGAACGAGACGTGTGCTCGAGCCGTAAAATCGTTTTTTTTAATGTAAATTATTTTACGATGTGCGCAAACTGTATGTGGGTGAAGTCTGAGTCCAGCACGGTCCAATCCAGAGTTTGTTGGGAATCCTACCATCTGCAGGCGAGCTGCTGGCCTTCACAGAATGGCTGTTGTTCACATGAGAGTTCTCCATCAGCTGAGCACCGTTCCCAGGTTCCAGTGATGGAGGGGCACCGTGGGCGGGAGGAGAGGAAGAGAAGGGTGATGCTGGTTTCATCGTGTCCTCCACTGAAGAACACATGGCCTCTTTACTCTCTGAAAGACGAAGAAAAGAATAACTATACTAGAGAGATAGCATTTTCTGCAAAAACGCAGTGTGGATGTTTATTGCTGAAGAACTTGCTGAAAAACAGCTGAAATTAGCTAAAAAAAAAAACATGTTGAAATGTAGCTAAAATGGAAGAACAAGCCTAAATTAGCAGAAGGAAGCAGAAATGAGCACAAAAAAAGAGGAAATGACTGCAAAAAAATCTGGAATTAGCTGAAAAAGCTAAAATTGGCATAAAACAGCAAAATAGCTGAAATAACTGAAACTAGCAGAAATAATCTGAAAGGAGCAGAAATAATCTAATTGGGCTGAAAGTAGCAAATTAGAACAAAAATAAAAAATAATTTCTTAAAACGGCTGAAATTAGCTTTAAAAAAAAAAGATAAAAAAAAAAAA